CGCCGGGCCCAGGCGCAGCCGCGCATTGCCGGGGCTCGGTACCTGCTCTCCACCGGGCGGGCTGGAAGCACTGATCCTCTGGGCGGGGGAAAGGGCCAATTCCCCGTTACGCCGTCGAGGAGAGCGGTCTGCGCTGCCCAGCTGGGCGTGGGCTGCGGGTCGGTGCTGGACCTCGCAGCGCTCTGCCCTCCCTGCGTGCCGAGGCCAGGCGAGGCCTGCACCCGGAGCCCCTGAACAGGCCACCTGCGAAACCTGAGCTTCGCCTTTTCAGATTGAGGAAGGCAACGAGCAGCCTTTGGGTCTGAAATTAATCTCCGGGAAGCTGTGGGAACAGATGGTGTTTCCGAGTGCTACGTGCTAGCTTTTAGCTTCAGAAAGACAAATATTGAACGCTCCCTGATAAACATGCTGTTGGAGAGGGGCTAACAGAGACGCTCCTTCACTTCCCCTTCAAAACAAATTATGTTGGTCCTGATGCAGCTCCCAGTGTAGTGTGTTGTCTGGCACCACAACACTGAGGGGATTGTGTTAGCCTAGCACCTATTTTGCAGTACCCACAAATGAAGCAGATTTGAAAAGTACATAGAAGTAGGCTGGCAGCGCGTCTCACCGGTCAACAGCGAGTTGAAAAGGTAACACAATTTTAGTACCTGCATGAATCCTTGTGGCTGAAGATTGGTGTGAAATACATCCTTCAGAGAGAAACAGCAGAAAGGATGGAAGTATCTTTTGCCAAAATGATGAAACATCCTCAGCATAAGAACTTCACAGAATCTTACTTTAAAAAAAAAAAAGTTTTATCCAGGAATTAATATTCACCCCAGCAGGGTAACACTGCAGTAGCCTAACACCCAACTCACAAGACACCATTTGCATTTGCCATCAAGCTGCTCAGTCTGCACAAAGGAACTTCAGAGTTCAAGATGTTTTCTCTATTTGGCCTCGGGGTTTTCTCTCTGTTCCAGGTGCTTGGCAAGCTTGGGACCTGAGCCCTAGCAGACTGACAGCCCACTTGCTGGGCTGCAAAGGGCATTATCTCCCTCTCTTTCTCATGCACGGATCTGTCTTCCTACTGCTGATGTGGCACAAAGCCTGGAGCCAGCCTATTTGTGTCAAAGCCCTCAGTGATTTTAAAGAGGTATTCATAAGAAAAACAGCAACATATCTCACAAAAGCCTCCCCAAGAAGTTATCTAATCCATCCCTGCCTAAGACAGATATTGTAGGCACACCCCAAAAAAAGGGTGCTGGAAGATTTCACGCTCCCCCAAGCGGTCTATTCTAGCTGTCTTCCAGACAGATCTTTTCCAGGCTTAATCAACAGCTTCCCTGCTGTAGCTTATGTCCCATATTAACAAGCCTGTCCTAATCATGATAGCATCATTCCTCCTCATTGAAATCTTTCATATGTTTGAATAGTCCCTGCCACCTTTCCCCCAGTCCTTCTTTCCCTGGAGAAAAAAAAATAAATTAAAATCCTATTTTTTTCCTTGTCCTTCTGTAAAGTAGCATTTTCTAGGTATTTATCATGCTGCTGCCCCCTGGCCCTTTCAGGTGTCAATGTCTTCCTTGAGTTAAAGTGCCCAAAGCTGAAGTACCATATTCTGGCAGAGGCCTTTTCATAATTAGCACCACAATCCCTCTGAACTACTCTCCTGGACCAATTTTAAAACTGTACATAATATACTAAGTGTTTAGAAACAAAGCTCAAGCAAAAGCAAATACTGAGCATTTGAGCAGGCAATTTCACATGTACCAAAGTAATTTTCAAATGGTTAGTTAGGTTAAAAAAAGGCAGCTTGCCACATAAAATTCAGTAGCTGTAAGCACAGGCCAGCAAGAGACCTTCAGGAATGTTGTTTCTCCAAGGAACCGAGAACCAGTTAGGAAAGCACTCAAGCAATAAATCAGTTCTACGATAATTTGGCAGATGTATCAGAGCAGCCAGTTTTATTGGGAGCAATAATATCTACAGAAACTGGTATTATTTTTAAGATATTAGTAAAATTTTATCACCAAACAGCAAAACTTGGTGGTCAGGTAATGTATAAATCTCTTTTAGTTATTGCAACAGGGCGAGTGCTGTTCTCCGTAAGGCTCTGATAACGCGAGCAACAGTAACTCAGGCACTCGGAGGAAATCTCGTTAGCTGCTGTGAAGTCCACTCCTGGTGTAAGCGCTGGGGGGGTTGTGTCAGCTGCAGCGAGTCAATAAAGAGCACACACAGGATTGTACAGGAAGGCTAGACACAACATGTCAGTTTTTTATTAACCAAAAGTGAAGCG